GTAGCACAAAGGTGCATCAGCAGATTTGCATATTTTGCGAGTTCATGACTGGGAAAAGAAAGAAGTGCAACAGATCAAGATAAAGAGGTATGTGAATGGGCTTGAGAAACTTCTGCCTTTCTCTTGTACAGTTAGTCCTTTAATGTCATGGACAGCAGATCAATTTATGACATGTTTGGCCCCAACAGTATAATTTCTTCTAACCAAAATAATGCTTGAGCAAAAATAGTGGGAGCCTGTTCCTCTTACCTGTACAAACTGCTCCAGGGCTTGCCTGTCCAAGCATGTGTAGTTCTGCAGGAACTTGAGCTTCTCCAGCTGGAACTGGTCCCAAAAGAGGGTCTCTGCCTGCTTTTCCAGCAGCTGGAACACCATAGCACCCAGGAGCAGGTAAAAGATACCCTAGTACCAGCAGCAGAGTCCAGCTGATCTGCGAGTTGTGTATGGTGAGTAGGGGCATGCTGCTGCTCTGCTGCTGCCAGTCCCTGCTCAGTACTTAATAGGTTGCTGTCCCAAGACATGTGCTACCCAGGACGCCCAGGAATCAAACATCCATGTTCCCAGTTACTGCCCTGGAGAATTTTTTAACAGAACATACAGGTATCAGGCCTACATAAAATGAGACTAACAGGCAAATTTTATCCTCCACATCTTTTCTCTATCCAGAATAAAGGGAGAACATTTATGGCTTAATAAGAATGTGAATCACAATGTTTTTCTCCTATTAAAACAACTTTTATCCAGAGATCTCAGTCAAATGAATGAAGCCTTACATAAGCCCTCTGAGACTGGTATTGTTTTCCAGGCTGGGAAGCTGAAAACTGTGGTTGAATGACTTACCTGGGGTCATATGAATAGAGTCACGGATAGAATCTTATAGTCTTGACAAGTAAAGCCTTACTCTAAACACTAGACTTTTGTACAAGAAAACACTATAAAGTGTCTTAATTACAGCAGACTCCCCAGAACAAAGAAGAGTATGAAGCTGAATAAATGGAAAAATCAACAGCTGCCATCTGTACCATACAAACATTGCTGGCACCAGTGAAAGCAGCATGATGAAGCTCATAAACACCCTGAATTCAGCCTGCTCACAAGACAGACTTTCTCTTTCTTTTCTAACCCTAATAGGATCAGTCCCCTCACTGCCTGACCTGCTGCTCCTGAATTCTTTGTCAGATGACTCCACGCTTTAGTCCATAGAATTAGAGAATGAACCACTCATCAGTACTGCTTTCAGTCTCTGTATTGCCCTTTTAATCCAAATGCATAAGGGGAGGGAGTGCTTAAGGTTAATCATTAGCTAAAAAGTATCAGAGGTTCACTCATGGGAGACTTAGTGATTATCATGCACTGGAAATGAGCTGGGCTTGCATATTTTTCTGTAGAAAATGCTTTACGGCTAGTATCATCTATGCCACATTGCTTCTGAAAGAAACACACACACACACAGAGTAAGAAGGCCATATGGCTAGGGCTGCAATTTTGTTATTAAACTCTCTTCCAATTAAAATGTTCTGGATACAGATATCCCTCCTTTGCTTTAGATTGTTTTTCACTTACCTTCAAACAAGAGGTAGTGCTCAGAGAACTGAAAAAATGATTTCATTCATACCTGTATCTGGGAAAACCCCTGTACTTGCCATTTGAACTGTGCTCCTAGCCTAGGGCCAGCCATCTCCACCCAGAAGAGGATGACTGACTGGCAGCAGAAGGCCACTTGTCACTCTGAAAAGTGAAAAGTATTGTGGAGAACTCCCAAAAGAACATATTGGACTTTGGGACCACTCTTGCTGTGACTGGGGGACAGAAAGATATCAGTAGAGAAGTGCAATGTGCAAGGACTCGGAGCCTTGGTGCTTTGGCATTTCTTTTTGGCTGAAGTGAAACATTTAGGAGATAGAAGCTGTAGTGGCATCAATATTACTGAGCACTGCAATAACCTTATGAAGCAAACTGATCTGAAGGAACTGAGATGTCCAACTTGCTTATCACTGATGGAAGGCCTTCTCTTGGTCTGTGCTAAGGATGACAATTACTTTCAGAGTATCTAACAAGAACTTCAGGAGACAAGCCTGGGATGTTGCACAACTGCCTGTTACACTAGCAGGGCTGCCTCTGGTGAGAGATCCAGATGTTTGTCTTGTTGTATTTTATAGGACCTATGTCTTCAGTCCAAGAGAATGCTAGCCTACTGGTTTTCTGGAATGGATGCAAACACATGTGCATAGCTGGGCTGAGACTGTAGGGTTTGGCGTTTGGAAGATCTCGCGATGTCATGGAAAGATGGAGGGTTCGTCGCAGCCCTATGATGCATCTGTAACCCCGCCTATCCTTGTTAGTATAAAAGGAATTAACTAACTGCGCAATAAAAGGCGGAAGTTGGCGCTCACACTGTGTGTGTTATCTGTCTCTTTCCCTGGTCCGGGCCGACCAGTGATCTAATCGTGGCACCTTGATACGTAGCGAACGCTACAGAGACAAGGTCCCACAGTTGAAGTAGGTTTCACAATTAAGGGTACGAAACTATTAATTAAGTTACAAATGAATAAATACAGCACTGAACCTCTTTTATCTCCCCTTCTATTCTGTTCAGTTCAGTTCAACAAAGCATTCTGGCCGCCAAACTTGGCAGTCTAAATTATGCCTTAAGAAAAAATGTCCACTTAGGCTTACTTTTAGGATCTTAATTTTCTGAGGATTTTGTGAATTGAGTCACTAAAATTGTCAAGGTCTGTTTACTTCTATACATCAGATATTCCTACTTAAAGCACTTCAACATTATGGGTGTATCCTATTTGGTTGGCCAAGTGAAATGATTTCTAATCAACTTTCAGAGGAGGTGTTATCATCTTTACCATAACTATAATTTGAAAAGCATTTTTAAACAAGGCAGGAAAAAATAATCAATTAATGGGTAATATAACAAACAACTGGAGAGAACTTCAAAAGACACGTAGAATATGTGATAAGATCTGTCCTGCGGCTGATGTAGAAAGCAGTGTTTCTGCAGAAAGATGAAAAAAAAAAAAATTCAATTGTATGTGCACAAGAAACTGCAGAGTAAATATGCAGTTAGAGATGAACCACCTTAGAGCTGAATGACCTTACAGATACATACAAGGGCAAAATCATGAAGCACACATTTAAGAAAGTATTTTCATAAACATGCACAGTTCCATACAAGTGAGCAGAGTAGTGTGCTCTGAAAACATGAAAGACAACAGTCTATAAGTAGCTGATGCTGCCATATTTATTCCCATGGAAAAGCTACAGAAATATGTACCTATAGATTTCAAATTATAGAAACATCAATATTTTGTTTGCAAAGGCATGGTTTTTTTTCCCCTTAGTGTCAAGTTGCAACATAGGAATAAACCAAAACAAGATTCTGCACAGTAGCCCAGAAGTTATGTCTTGCCACAGGAAAAAAGAAACTCAGATATATACATTTGGAAATAAACTGAAGACTTGTGATTTCTGTGTAAGTTCTGAATCTGGAAGATGGAGCACAGCATGGCATACCACATCGGGAATTAAATTAGTCTTCCAGGTAAAAAGGCGTAATATACAATATGCCGAAATAACAATATACTAGAAGATCCCTTTTGATGATGGGGTGACAAAGCACACTATCTAATCTAACTTCTTTTGTTGCTCTTTTACTGTTCTTCTGATTAAAAAAATAAACAAAACTTGAGTTCACAAACATTAAAAATAAAAAAATGCTGAAAGCAAAAACTTCTTGAGAGTAGCTGAACTTGGAAGTTGACTGTTACTCAGAGGTTCTGCTGTTCCAGCGCTCCCTAGAGCACTTACGTTAAACATAAGAGTGCATTTGGTCTCAAAGCTAACGAATGAATTCTTACAAAACATATTTTGAATCCAGAGCTGAACATGACCTTATGGATTATTCCTTCACTTATCCTATCTTTCTCCCTCAATGTTACTGTAACGTGTGACTGACCCAGTAGGATCCAGCTTTTCCCAGAGAAAATCTGAGCTGTTCTAGAAAGCACAGATACCAAAATGACATCCTGGTCTACAGTCGAGATAGTGAATCACTTAACATGTATTACCTGGAGCAAAACAAAGGATTTGGGGTTCTCCAATTGCTTCACCTATTGCTGTTACAGTTCCTAACAATTCTTAATCATGGACAGATGCTAAATAAAAGATAGGCCAAAAATAACTGACATGGTTTCCTCACTCTGTATTTCAAAAGCCAGAAAAAATACCATTGTGATCAGTAGGAGTATAATTTACATAGACACTGTTTCTAAACTGTTTCTAAAATAAGTAATTAAATGGTTGAAGGATACCTTGGCTGATCCTGCCATCTTCAAACTTCTGATGAATGAATTTTTGGACTAATTTTTCCAGAATAAATGTCTCTGTACAGAGCTAGATGACAAACTGCATGCAAAGATCCAGGGACCCATTCTTCCACAGGGTATGCATTTCAGCCTGAACAGTTTGTACATGGAAATACTGAATTGTTTTGAATTTGCTTTGCTCCTTGAATGACTTTTAAACCCTGCACTTTGGAGAAGAGTTAAGGAAATTATTTTAGAACTATGTTAAATATAAATAACAGTAACATTGCATTTCTTCAGGCATGACACTGCCATCTGGCAATTTTCTACTTCTGACTTTGTTCTCACTCCAAATATAAAGCAATCATTTTGACTTCCTGATTTACGCTCACATAGGTGAAAACATGAAGCATTTTCTGATAACAGTTATGAAGAGTTCCAAGATTTCAGTAGTGTTTTTCTCAGACAGATTCTATGAAAAAAAAGAAAAGCTTCCTTGAATTCTGTAGTTATTGTATTGGAGGAAGATCTTGTTGTTTCTGTTCTTTATTTGTATAAATGCATTTGGGTAAACCCACTGTTGGCCCACAAATACAAGTATTTTTTTAGCTCACTGTTTGTGTCAAATGAAGCACCTCAGATGCCCCAAAAAATGAACAGAAGATAATCTTTGGAAAATCTCAGGTGCAGCCCCTGAGATTTCCTTCAGGGGAATGGGAAAACAAAGTTTTAGTCGGAAGTCTTCAATTTTATCATGGTGGTGTTAAATGAAGGCATGGATTCTATTAGAAATAACTAGTTTACATTGCTTGCCTTATTGGTGAGGTTTCAAAGCAAACATTGCAGGAAGCAAAACAGAAAAAAATATATGAAAAAGATCATTTAACATTGATTTAAACAACAGTAAAAGGGATTCATGTGAAGCCATCTAAAACCAGAAGTTTGATTATTGTGGTTATTAAAAATGGCCTTTGAAAAGACAAACAAGTTCTATATAGAGCTACTGAATATGCTATATGTAACTAGGCATTCCCAAATTCTCATCTTGTTGACATCCAT